GTCTCGCACCAGCACGCCATCTTATCCGCCAGGGCCCCCCTCTGCGGGGGGGCGCCCCAGGCCACGTGTAGCTGTCTCTAGGTGGACTCTGGGATCGAGATGCTAAGCCTGCCCGCACAACCGAAACACTGGGCAACCACATCTTCACACTACCCCTGCAGGTCGAAGTTCAAGGAAAAGCAGCCGTGGCTCAGAACTCGACGGATGCCTGCAGCCAGCATTCCAGCGTGGACTGGACCCGCAGGGGGTAGGCTTCGCAAGTGGCCGCAGAAGCACGATCACGAGAACGCTGGCAGAGAACATCAGCCTCTTGACCCCGGTGCCGGCTGTAGCTCGAGCCGTCCCTGGGAGCGGCGCGCGCAAGAAGAGGGGGCGCGAGCGGCTCGGCCAGCCCAAGCCCAGGATGCCAGAAGACCCTCCCGAGAAGCGCGAGACCGCTCCGAAGAGCAGACGCGCCCGTTCTCGAGGAAGCAGCCCTCGAGGCAGACGCTCTTTCTTCGACCGTGCGGGCGCTCAGAGACCACGCGGGTGCCCGGGCCCCCCAAACAGCGCGCGGGCCTCGGGCACGGCCCCGAGAGCCCGGGGGAAGAGTCGAGAGCGCGCTCGGCTCGCTTCGGAGCCGAGGCCCGGGCCGCCGAGTGGTCTCAGGCTGCAGCGCGGCTGGCGACCAGCTAACCAGGCCACCTCAACCGAAGCCGAAGACCCAAATTGTTCGGGTTGGGGGGGGACGCGGGTTCCACATGTGTTCTGTTCCGTGCTCCCCGACGCCCTCCCACCCCCACTGGGCATGGAGGGCGAATTGGGGCCTTCGGGTTGGGCTGGGGTGGTCTGGTGGGCGGTGAGGATCGTGAGGATGCGCGGCAGAGACGCAGGGCCCGTGGACGCTCAAGCCGAAGCCGAAGGTAGAAGCCCAAGGCCCACCGATGCGGGCCAGAGTGGGCCGAGAGGCAAGGATGCTCTTGTGGCCTCGGAGAGGTCCTTCGTCCTTCTGATGCTGTCGTGCTGCGCACGGCGCCACCGATGAAGATCAGCAGGAGGCTCCAGGACAGGCCCAGAGGGCCTCGAGGCTCGCAAAGGACGGCTCCAAGACGGCTTCCAGCAGTCCTCTCCGTGTAGCGAACGGCCGAGCAGTGCAGCGAGGGAAGCTAAGGGCCCAGTGGCTGGGTCCCTCCTGGGGCTGTAAGCCTGGGGGGTCGGCAACGTGGGCCGCAGGCCTGAAGATCGTAGATTTCCTCGTCTGTCTCAGCCTCGGTCTCGAGCTGCTTCAGCATGTCCTTCAGCAGGTTGATCCGCCCCTGTGTCCCCTGGCACGTTGAGGCGTGGTAGAATTCCCAAGTGCTGTCTGGTGGGGTTACTGTCTTCTCGTACGGGGCCCCCACCACCTTAGTAGCAGACCCTCGCGTGCATCCCCCCTAATCCCGAGGCCACGATCCCTCGATCAAAAACTGGATCCGCGTTTGCGAGGCCACGACATCTCGTATAAACCGACGTGTCCGCGTCATACGGCCATGAGGCCCCACGACGGACGACGAGAGCCCCAAGACGGCCCAAGAGGGCCCCAAGACGGCCCCAAGGGACCCCCAAGACTGCCACACAGGAAGCCAAGACAGCAACAAGACGCTTCAAATGAGGTCCACGAGAGCTCCTCAAGAAGTGAAAACGAAAGGCGTCGCATGTGACAGACCTCCTCCTCATCCTGTTCCTCCTCCTCCTCCTGCTCCTGCTCCTGCTCCTCCTCGTCATCATCCTTGTCCTCATCATCCTTGTCCTCATCATCCTCAATCCTCATCATCCTCATCACGGCTCTCCCAAGTCTGGGGACACGAGGTGTCACACGTGACGGCCTCTCGTGCCCCCTCGAACAGACGCCACCCAGAACGCTGGGCTGGCACGGTGGCGGGACTTGCCGCCGGCAGCTGGATTACCTTGGACACGGGTCGGCTCGGCCCGGTCTCGTCCGACTTCATCGAGGAGGTCGCCTGCTCGGGGACGGCAGGACCAGAAGACTTGGGCCTCTGGTCTGCCCCACAACCTTCCCCGCTCGGCCTTGCGGCAGCGGTGATGGGATGTCATGTCCCCTGGAAGCGGTGCTCGGACGGGGGCATTCACTTCGAGCTTCGAGATTCGAGGCTGAGGGATTGAAGGTATCTCAAGCGGAGTCCAAGTAGGTGAGGTCTGGGGATCGATCCGCATCGCCGATACATCGCCGATGATCGGCGATGTTGGCGACATTGGCGTGGAGACACTCGGACCCCACATCGAGCCGCATAGCCCATGTATCGGCGATGTGGCGCGATCCTCCGACTCTTCTCGGACCCCGACTGGGAGGCATGGGAGGATCGAGGTCAGAGGCTCGAGGCTCGAGGATCGAGCTTCGGAGTTCCAGGTTCGAGGATCGAGGCTCGAGGTTAGGGGTCCCCGGCCTGGGTGTCCAAGCCACTTGCTGCCAGCGCCATGAGCACGGCAGCAGCGGCGGCGCGCATCATCTGCATTGGTTCCGGAGCGGGCGAAGGCGACCCGGGTCCCACGGCTGCGCCGCTGTGGCGCACGCCTCGGACAAAGCGGAGCGTGACAGAGGTGGGGGGGAGAAGCAGGCGGCTGGGCCCGGTGGGGATGACACAAAGGGAGCGGTGGCAGAGGCTGCAGAGTGGGAGGCGAGGGTGCGAGGGGGGGAGCTGGAGAGCGGTGAAGAGTGGCAGCCGAAAAGAGAGGGGCAAAGGTAAGATGAGAGGAGCGAACGCGAGCAGCAGGGCTTCCACGAGGGAGCTGCTGGTAGGAGGACGCAACGGGGCCTCTCCAGACTTCTCGCTGGCGCTCGAGACTGTCCCGGGCAGGGGTCGGAGCCTCTGACCCGCTCGCTGGACTTCCAGGTCGCTGGACTTCTCCTCCTTCTCCTCCTGTTCTCCCTCCTCTCCTCCTTCTCCTCCTGTTCTCCCTCCTCCTCCTCCTCCTCCTCCTCCTCCTCCTCATCCTCCTCCTCCTCCTCCTCCTCCTCCTCCTCCCTCCTCCACCTCCTCCTCCTGCTCCTGCTCCGATTGTGGGTCTGGTTTTGGTGGAGTACACATGATTCCAAGTACGCGAATCGAATTGTGACCTGTGACCACAGATGGTTGGGATGGAAGCAATCAAGTAGGTCATCTGATAAATACGTTTGTACCTGTATGACTACGACTGTAGCTGGTCTTGGTGTTGTTTTGGATTGGTCGAAATTCGTATAATGCCGAACCACAATTGTGACTGTGACAAATATTGCTTATTGATCAAATCGTGTCGCAACATTCGGATGCGTCCAAGAAAAATGCGACCAAACCAGAACCGCGACCAGAACCGGTCTTGGTCACAGTTGCGTTTCGGGTTGCCTCTAGCTCTACGATCATACGATTTATGCCAAACGTCCAAAACCCAAACTGTAACCAGGGCGAGTCCCGATTACAGTTCTGGTTCGGTTTACATCGATGTCGATATCAATTCAAAAATGATACGACCCAAACCAGAACCGTGACCAGAACCAGTCCTGGTCACAGCTGTGTCTTGGGTTGCACGAAGACTGTTATGATATTGTTGATATTTGCCGACCCAATCCAGACCCGTGACACGAACCAGTCCTGTTCAGAATTGCGGTTCGGGTTACACTAGTTATATTGTAATAACAATCTAGCAGTCGACCCTGACGAGAACCATGACCTGGACCAGTCCTGGTCACAGTCGCGGATCGGGTTGCGTCGAAACTGTTACAAGACTTCACGCTACCCGACCAATCCAGAACAGTGACCAGGACCAGCCCTGGTCACATGTGTGGGTCGGATGCCGATCGGCCCACACCAGAAACGTGACCAGGACCGGTCCTGGTCACAGAAGCACCATGAAAAAGTTGACATCAACCAGGCGAGAGCGGCCGTCCAGACGCGATCCAGTGACGATAAATTGCTTGTATACTTGCATAAATGTGCTGGGCTGTCCGCCGAGAATTCCACAATCTCCTTCCACTTGGAAGCGTAGTAGCAGGAGTTGGTGTGCTTGTTGAGTGAACTCTTCCTTTGTTGTTTGAATAGGTCGAGCTTGCTGCAGGAGGCAAAGCTCATGTCCCTAGCCACGATCAGGAGACGACTCCTTGAATCCTGCTGTGCCCACTCGGTACCTGGCCGGGAAAATGCGGAGGATGTGCACCTTGGGCCAGGGGGCACCTCCAGCAACGCCCGACCTTCTGGGAAGCTCTTCGAGCCCTCTCCGGAGCCAGAACGGGGGGCTTCCCAGAAGGCCAGAGGGCTTCCGACGAGCCCCCTCCGCCTTCCGAGACAGGCCTGCCCCCCTTCTCTCGGGTCGGGCGAAAGGGGGGGATAGCAAAAGGGGGGTTTGAGAATCAGCTCACGTAGCTGATTTTCCCGGCGCCTCCCGGCGCCGGAGGCGCCCATGTATCGAGGAATGGCCCCCTCGGTGAGGCCGAAACCAGCTGCATGCAGCAAACTTCGTAACCCCCCCTTTCCCAACCCCCCCCTTTCGCCCGGCCCGATTCTCTTCCCCCGTCCCCCCCCTGGCGCGCCGCCGAGTCGTTGCTCAATCTTGCCCACGAACCTCGAGGTCCGAGGGGCGAGGTTTTCGGGAGTGTTTTTGGCCCTCGTCGGGCCTCGGGGGGCCTCCAGACGCCTCCAAGGGGCCTCCGGGAAGCTCTGGGAACCTCTGGTCGGGGGGGTCCCAGAGAGGGGGGGGTCCAAGAGGGGGGCGGTCGCAAAATGTGGCCCCCGAGGCACGTGCGCGGCACAGGGGGGCCAGGGAACGTCTTGAAAGATGATGAAGAAGAAGAAGAAGAGGAAGAAGAAGAGGAAGAAGAAGAAGAAGAGGAACAAGAAGAAGAAGCAGAAGTAGAAGAGGGAGCCATGGCATCTGGGAGATGCCATGGCCCTGTCCATGATACCCACACACCCCTAGTCATCACCCCCCTCCTGGACGCCCCCGATCATGGGACCTCTGGGGACCAGGGTCGGGGCGGCAGCAAAACTTACCATCACTCGCGCACGCGATCCTCGGCAGGGGAGGACGTCTCTGGTCCGCGTCACGAAGGAGACGGGTTCTGGCAGAACCCGGCGCTGGCCCTGCTCCCCAACAGACGATTGAGGCATAATCTTGAGTTGTCAAGAGCCTCGGTAGCATCCTCACCGATCCCCACGACGGGGATGTCACGCTGCAAGGTGTAGCGGAGCTCTGCTCTGATGGACTGCTGCGCACAACGACCAATTTCTACACACGAAACTCTGTCGATGATATTAGCACGGGGCATTCTCGCTGTCACACATCTTCGCACACTGAGTCTGGGCCCCTCACCCAGGTGGAACGGGAGGAGGAGCAGTAGGAGGAGGCAAGAAGAGAAAGGGGAGAAGGTAAGAGGAGACGGTAAGAGGAGAAGAAAGAGCAGTCAGAGGATAGCGGCCCTCCTCGGCGTTACCTCCGAGACCTCGGGGCAGAAGCCCCGTGTCTGCCGCAGGACGCCCCGCTCAGTGGTGGCCGCCCTCCAGGGTGATGTCCTGGCCGGCGTAGCCCCACTTGTGCGCGCGGCGGTGGCAGAGCTGGTGGGAGAAGTGATGGTGGTCGAAGTACACGCCGTACATGTAGTCGTCGACGTTCTCCCAGTACTTCTCGCGGTCCATGAAGATCTCCATGGGCTCACGGCGCTGCTCCAAGCAGCCCACGGACAGGATGAGCAAAAACGGCGTGAGCGGCATCAAGACAAAGGGCCGCGCCGGCATCAAGGCCCAGAAGAAGCACTTGACCCACTCCCATGCGGTGAGCGTGTGAAAGCGGTGCTGGGTGTTGAAGTGCTTGATCGGGTCCAGCGTGGGATTGTGGATGCCGCCGACGACCCATGGCGGGCGGTACAGCGGGCCCACGATCGGGCTGTGGAGGCTCCAGAAGGTGTAGGAGCCGCGGCACCAGCCGTGAGGACCCATGGTCTTCTCACTGGTCTTGGGGAAATTTGGGGCGATGGGCTTGATCATGCCGCCCTCGGTCATGGCACCGCGCCTCGGAATAGCCGCCAGGCTCGACCTGCCAGCCGACCGAAGGTTTGGGGGTAGCTTGGGGGGCGGGCTCATAGCCAGGGTGGGGGCCCGAGGGCGATCCGCGTCGAAGGCCGTGGCGGCATGCAACGAGCTGGGCTGGGGGAAGGCTACGATGAGCTAAGAAGTCAAGCTACAGACAGGCCTGGGCAGCTGGAGGCAGCATACGCGCGAAAGCAAGCCCAGGCCACGCCTCGGACGTGCGGGACCCAGGATCCGCGCACCGCGGCCTCACGCGCCCGGTGCCGGCTGAACCAGGACCCGGACTGGCGGCGGCCACCAAACGCTTGCACCAGAGCAGAAGGCCCTCAAGCACTTGTTTAACATAGGTTGCGCCACATAGCTTACACCACACATATTGCACCACAAACATGGCACAGCATAGACTGCACAACATAGTAGGCTAGAACACAATGTGTGGGGGCCATGCTGGCTGCCAGTGTGTAAAGGGCCTCAACGCAACCCGACTGGCGGCGGCCAGCACCAGAGCAGGAGGCCCTCAAGCGCTGGGGAGACAGAAAGAGCAGGGCTAGACATAAACAGTGCGTTTCGTGTTCGCATCCCTTTTGTTCTCCCTCGCTTGGTCTTCGTGTCGCCTCTGCTGCAAAACGAGGTCGAAGTGAAGACGGCGCACGAAATCACTCAAACACGATCCAGGTCGAGGCCTGAGGAAGATACTCATGCCGTAAGAATCTCAAGGCGAATCCGGCCGTGGCGGCGACGGACGGGTGGCGGCAGCGGCATCGCTAGAGGTCTCCTAGATGAGGTCCGAGCAGGCGGGGTCGGAGGATCGCGCCGCATCGCCGATGCATAGGCGATGCAGCTCGATGTGGAGCACGACTTTCTCCACGCCGACGTCGCCGATGCATCGGCGATGCGGCCGACCCCGTCTGCTCGGAACCCATCTGGGAGGCCTAGAATCTCTCTGCCTCCGCTGGAGCACAATCACGAGCAGCCTCGGGCAGAAGGGCACAGTCGGCCACGCGGCCGCGAGGCGACGTGGCCCCTTGGGGCCCTGGGGGCCCCGAGCCTCCAGCTGGGGGGGGGGGGCGCTGGCCACCGAGCGGGCCTCCGAGGAAGCCCGCGGGCCACGGGCCCTGGAGTCTTTGGCTGCAAGAGCGACTACAAAATAGGGTAACGAAAATTCATACATATCCACTGCTCCCTGGCCAGCCCCGTCCTGAACACAGCACCAGTGTATACGCCACGCCCTCCAGGCTGGGCCAGGAGAGCGTATACACAGGTCCTGGGCCCAGGAGAGGCCAGGCCAGGGGGAAGCGGCATGTATAGATTTTGGCACCCGATACAAGAATGCTTGCGAATACCGCTGCAGGAGCTGATGGTCTGCGCGGCACCAGGAGACACCTCAACCACCCGATCAATTCAAGACAGCATGCTGGCGGTGGGCACAGAAAACATCTGGTGACTATGATGTTCACTACTCTTTCCTATCGACCAGCTACTCTCTACCCTCTGCCCCAGCTCCCTCCTCTCTACCCCACACTCTCTGCCCTCGCCTCTCGTAGCCTTGCTCTAAAACACACTACACCATATACTGTTTGCCCTCTGCTCTATCCGCCACCGACCGCTGAGCCCGCCGCGGCGTGCCCAGAGATTCATACAGTTCTGAGCGGGTCAGGGATGGTTGGAGTCGCAGAAGTCAAAATTTCAATTCGTCGAGATGCCCGTGCCCGTCCTGACCCATCATGAGTCCCACGCGAATCAGAAAATTGAAAACCGTGCTTGCCAGCACAAACTCCAGGAATTATTCCGCTCTGGATGTGTAAGTTGTGGGGTGCAAGCTATGTTGTGCAATCGATGCGGTGCATGCTATGTGGCGTGATCAATATGGTGATATGAGTGTTACAATACATGTGGTGCTGTCTAAGTGGTGCAATTCACGTGGTGCAGCTTTTGCGGTGCATTCGAAAATGTACGAAATCTGCGCGTAACCACCTCCAATGCTCGTGCAAACATCCTACACACCCACACGCAATTTGTCGGTATGACTCAACGGGCGGCGACAGCGCAGATGACGATGACGATGTTCATGCCGACAGTGGGGACGATGGCGACGACGATGACAACGACGACGATGACGATGGTGACGACGACGACGAAAACGATGGCGATGATGATGACGTTGACGATGGCACCGATGACGCTGACGATAACGATAACAGTGGGAACTAGTGGGGATGAGAAAGAAATCTGCGCGCGCAGAAATTTGATGAGGGCGACTAATCGACGGAGGGGGTGATGACGGGGCGGTGATGACGACAATGAAGCGCGCGCCGCGCACCCGCGGAAATTCAGAACCCCTGAAGTGCCCATATTAAAAACTGGGATCCCGCATGTGATTGAACACTTTTATGTGGAAATAGTTAGGAAGCACCTGGTTTGGTAAGGATCTCGACGTGCGCGCGCGGAGATGCGCGCGCGCGGCCCGCACGGCAACCTGGCCGGACAAGAGCGGGAAGCGTCTTTTTTGCGTCCTGGGCTGATGCGATATCCTACGTTCGTAGTATGCGCTGCGCAAGTCTGTCGTGGCGTGCGTGCGTTTGCGAGTGCGCGTGCGTGCGTGGAATAGGTGCATGTGCGTCCGTGCGCGGTGGTCTGCGGCACTGCTGTGTTGTGCCGTGCTGCTGTGCCGTGCTCCTGCGGTCTGCGTGAACGTATGTTGCCTCCCTGTGTGTGTGCGTGTGTGCGTGTGTGTATGTATCTGTGTGCGTGTGCGTGTGCGTGTGTGCGTGTGTGTGTGCGTGGGTGCATTTGCGCGTGCGTGTGCATGTGCGTGTGCCTGTGTGTGCGTATGCCTGTGTGCGTGTGCCTGTGCGTGCGGCTATGTGAATAGATGTTCTGGGTGTTCTGCCGTGCTCCTGCGTGTTCTGCCGTGTTCCTCTGTGTTCTGCCGTGCTCCTGTGTGTTCTGCCATGGTCCTGCTCTGCCGTGCTCCTATGTGTTCTGCCGCGCTCCTGTGTGTTCTGCCATGCTCCTGTGTGTTCTGCCGTGCTGCTGTGTGTTCTGCCGTGCTCCTATGTATTCCGTGTGTTCTGCCGTGTGCCTCGTGGTCCTGCGTGTTCTGCCGTGTTCCTATGTGTTCTGCCGTACTGCTGCGGTGCTTCTGCGTGCTCTGCCGTGCTCCTGTGTGTTCTGCCGTGCTCCTGTGTGTTCTGCTGTGCTCCTGTGTATCCTGCCGTGCTCCTGCTCGTTCTGCCGTGCTCCTATGTGTTTTGTGTGTGTGTTTTGTTACGCTCATGTGTGTTCTGCCGAGCTCCTGTGTGTTCTGCCGTGCTCCTATGTATTATGTGTTCTGCCGTGCTACTCGTGCTCCTGCGTGTTCTGCCGTGCTCCTGTGTGTTCTGCCGTGCTCCTGTGTGTTCTGCAGTGGTCATGTGTGTTCTGTGTGTTCTGCCGTGCACCTGCGTGCTCATATGTATTATGTGTGTGTGTTCTGCTGTGCTCCTCTTGCTCCTGTGCGTTCTGCCGTGCTCGTGCCTGTTCTGCTGCGCTCCTGTGTGTTCTGCCGTGATCCCGTGTGCTCTCTGGGTTCTGTTGTCTTCCTGTGTGTGCTGCCGTGCTCCTGTAGGTTCTGCCGTGCTCCCGCGCGTTCTGCCGTGCTTCTGCGTGTTGGTCTGCCGTGTCCTGTTCAATGTCTCAGTGTTTCAAAGATGTCTCCGGCGATAGCCCCATTTCCACAGGTGTGTTAAATTCGCGACTTTACTTTCCTGGTGGATGTCTCAAGCGAAACGCCTGTTCTTGTAAAAGGCGATGTTGCGAGCAACTTAATTGTTTGAGGATGCCTTGAGCGAAATGCGCATTTTGAGGAATCTCGAGGGCGCTCTTAGAGTCATACTGGGCCTCGTTTGGGGCTCGTTTGGGGCCGCCTCGGTGCCTTAAAAGATGATGCCAGCGAGATGTCACCCCCCCACACACACACATCTCTTTTTGTTGAGGATGTCCCTAGCGAAATCGTCAAGTTTGAAAGGCTGGTTGGGACCGTCTGGAAGCCTTTTCAGGAGCGATTCCAAGACGATGCTAGAACAGCATGTTTCAAACCGATGCTATTGTATGTTTCATTTGTTTGAAGATGTCCCTAGCGAAATCGTCATGTTCGGTAGTCTTCAGGGCGCTCTTGGAGCCGTCTTTGGGTCCTTGTTGGGCTCTCACTTCTTCATTCTGAAACACTTCAAAAACAATATCAAGACGATGCTGAGAGCATCTCACTTTGTTGAGGATGTTCCCAGCAAAATGCTAATTGTCTGCCGTGCTCTTGTTGGGGGTCGGCCATGCTGCCGCTCAGTTTATGAGGATGTCCCTAACGAAAACGTAGTTTTCAACATCAGATGTAGCTGTACACCACCGTCGGCACCTTCTTGTGGCTAGGATGTCTCCGCCGAAGCGCAAATGATTACAGATTCATGAATTTCGCGGCGGCCAGCTTCTCGGGGATGTCTCGAGCGGAACGCTTGTTGTTGCTGTTGTTGTTCAACGCGATGTCACGAGGATCTCATGTCTGTGAGGATGTATCAGGCGAAATTGCCATTCTGGGGGATCAGCTAAACCTCGCTCCCGTGCGACCTGACCAGACAAGAACGGGAAGCGTCGCTTGTGTCCCCTAGGTATGTGAAGTATGCTCTTTTGTTGGTCTGCCGCGCAGATATGGCGTGGCGTGCTTGCGTTTGCGCGTGCGCGTGCGTGCGGGGAATATGTGCATGTGTGTCCGTGCGTGGTGGTCTGCGGCACTGCTGTGTTATGCCGTGCTGCTCTGCCGTGCTCCTGCGGTCTGCGTGAACGTATGTTGTTTCTCTGTGTGCGTGTGTGTGCGTGTGTGCGTGTGTGTGCGTGTGCGTGTCTGTGTGTGCGTGTGCGTGTGCCTGTGGGCTTCTCCCCATGTGCTTGTGCTTGTGGGTGCGGCTGTGTGAATAAATGATATGTGTGTTCTGCCGTGCTCCTGCGTGTTCTGCCGTGCTCCTGTGTGTTCTGCCG